ATTGTCTACCACGACATCTATGTGAGGCAAAGGAAAATCATCTTTTGGACTAGCTTTGTTTAGATCCTTGAAATCTACACATACTCTGATTTTGTCATCCTTTTTTGGTACTACCACTATATTAGATACCCATTGAGGGTATTTAATAACTTCTAGAAAACCAGCATCCCACTGCTTCTCTATCTCTGCCTTGACCTTGAGCACAATATCCGGGCGAGTTCTTCTTAATTTCTACTTAACAGGTTTACATCCTTCTATCAAAGGCAATCTGTGTACTATAATATTAATGTCTAAACCAGGCATACCTGTATAAGACCAGGAAAACACATCAATATACTCTTGTACTAGTGAGGTTAAACTGCATCTTTCTTTTGTAGTAATCAGAGTTCCAATCTTTAGGTCTCTTTTATCTTGCTCAGTGCCTACATTTATCACCTCTAATTCTTCCTTTGCAGGTTTCCAAGCATGCTTTAATTGTTCTACCCGTCTAGCAAACTCTTCATTCCATTCCTCTTCATCCATTGCAATCTTATCCTTATCAAAGTTTGGCCATTCATTTTCAATGCAATATGTTTGTGGATTTATGGAGGACTCACTTTCAGAATTCCTAAAAGCGGAAGGTGTTTTTAGTGTGGATGCATATCTTGTAGCCGAACAAAACAAAAAGGAAGATGACAAATGTTGATGAAAATGCTTGATCTCAATAATATTTTAAAAAGTTGGCTCAACAATTATGAAAAGACCTTATGTTGTCATCTTGAGCCAAGATTTCCAACTAGGTATAAAAACACAAAGCAAACTACAATGCAAAGCACACAGAGCACATAAAAACAAATATAAGTAGACGCTTAATCATTACTTCTTGAAAACAACTAGGGCTTCCTCAATCTCCCAATTCTGGAATACTTTTTCAGCTGAAAGCTTTCGCACAAAGGCGCTGGTTGGAGCCTCTTCTAGAGAATGGACAATTAATTGAGGTAACAATTCATTTTCTTTCGTTGTTTTTTGCTCATCATCACAGTTCCAGCCTTTCCCTTCACCGTCCTCAACATTATTGATATCCATGATAGCAAGTTTCTATCCCAAGACTTCCATCATGTTTTTAGGTTTCATCACGTATGCTAACTTTGGAAAAGAAACATGGATTGGTGGGATTACAATGTCTTCTTCCTCTAGCTTTCTTCCTTCTATTCTGGCCAACCTTCTTTCTCGTTTTATCCTAACAACTCTCTTGTGATCATCTTTCTTAGGCTTAAAGCCAAGCCCAAACCTCTGATTAGCAGCCTTAATTTTCATCATGTTGACTCTTTTAAGATTTCTAGCAATTGGATCATTCTGGAATGATAGCCCATGTTTCAAAAAGCATTTAGCTATCATTCTGGCAGTATTAGAAATAACTGGTCTTCTCAACACCGTATTCTCTGGTACCCATTCGGTGTTCACAATCTCGAAGGCATGGAGATTTCCATCTTTGCAATCTTCTGCTTCAATATAAGGGACCGCCACATTCCTTATCATGGACAAGGTTTCTTCTGCCTTAACTTTCACTAGAGTACCATTGATAATGTACTTCAGACATTGGTGTAGAGATGATGTCACAGCCCCAGAGGCGTGTATCCATGGCCTTCCTAAAATATGCTATACGAAGGATGGATATCCATCACTTGTAGGGTTATAAAAAACATTTGAGGCCCTACAAACAATTCAATGTCAATGGTCCCTATCACCTATCTAGGGGAACCATCATATGCTCTAGTTGTCATAATACTTGGCCTCATATGAGTAGCATCAATTGGCATCTCATCTAGCATATGCCTTGGTAGCACATTCAAAGCTGAACCATTATCCACAAGCACTTTGCCGATCAAACAATCCTTATATTTCACAGTGATATACAAGGGCTTGTTATGCCTAGTCCCTTCCGGGTCTAGCTCATCTTTAGTGAAGTATAAGTAATTGGAGGCTTGAATTCTTCCCACCAAATGTTCCATTGTATCCTGAGTAATATCCTGTGGCATATATGCTTTATTCAACACCTTTTGCAACGCTTTATGGTGTAACTCAGAACTCAAGATAAGTGACATTAAAGAGATTCTAGCAGGAGTTTTCTTCAACTGATCTACCACACTATACTTATTATGCTTCATCAACTTCAGAAATTCATTAGACTCCTCTTCACTTATAGGTTTGTTCACTTCCATATCTTTAAAAGCATCAACTGTTTCTTTTCCTTTAGCTTTCCTCTGCCTCTCTAATTCTTCTGGTGTAAAACACTGACCACTTCGAGTTAAACCACAGATTTCAGTATGGAATATAGGAGTAGGATTTTTAATGTTGAAAGCATACCCATAATTGTACGGCATTGTGCCATAACTTCCATTATTGGTGCATACAGGCTTGGTTAGTATTAGTTTTGGTGGACCACCCACAGTTGGTTGGAGTCTACAAACCTCCCTTTTTTTCTCCTGATGGCCTATCATCCCAACTTCACTGCTTTCTTCTCCACTTTCTATTCGTATCATGCCGAAAATCAGCATCCTTTTCACTTCTTGGTGAAATTCTTTGCAATCATTAATGTGATGTCCCACCTTGTCATGAAACTTACAGTAATTATTTCTATTCATTACTGGTTCAAACTCGGATAAATATCTAGACTATACCATCATACCATACAGTTTTTCCATGGAAACCTTCAAAGTTCTTTCCTTCTTACCCTCTACTCCTACAACATTCACCCCTCCACTGCTTGTAGCATGATTGGGTAAAGGGTTGGAATTCGCATTCGGTGCATCATCAAAAGTTATCCATCCAGCTTTTATCAATTGCATAAGCTTGTTTTTAAATGCGCTACAGCTTTCAATGTTATGCCCAGCAATGCCAGCATGATACTCACATGTCATATCAGGCTTATACCAATTTGGGTATGGAGGTTGTAGTGGGGTTAAGGGAACAGGGGCCACTTGCCCAATACTCAACAACTTCGAGTACATTTCTCCCAAGGGAAGTGGTAATGGTGGCAATCGTTCTTGGGTTCTTTGAAAATTCCTTCTTGGAGGATTAACAATCTAGTTACTTTGTTGGTCATTTGGTTGGTTTTGTTGGTTGGTAGGGAAATGTTTAGTGAAGTTTACACTTGCAACTTGCTAGGTAGGTATTTGGAAGTTATAATGATGGTAATTTTTCTTCTTACCCTTGTACCCTCTTTCCACATTGTTCACCTTAGAATCCTTCTTTTTCCCAATAAAGCCATTCTTCTCAGTAGGCTCTAACATTCTCCCCATTCTTATTGTTTGTTCTATCCTCTCAGCAATAGTTACAGCATTATAAAAATGGTGAGCTGAACTACCCACTAGGTGTTCAAAGTAAGGAGATTTAAAAGTGTTGGAAAACAGAGTGACCATTTCTTTTTTTAACAAAGAGGGTTGCACATGAGATGCTTTTTCACGCCATCTCAAAGCGTATTCTCTTACAGTCTCTTTGTTGCCCTTCTCCATGACTAACAAGCTTGACCTGTTCGGGGCTACCTCCATGTTGAATTTATACTGCTCTACAAAAGCTTTGACCAAATCTTTCCACTTTCTGATCTTTGTATTATCTAGTCTTGTATACCAGCTTAGTGCTGATCCAGAAAGACTATCTTGAAAGAAATGGATGAGAAGTTTCTCATCACTCACCACTTCTGCCATCTTATTACAATAAGATTTAAGATAAGTGACTAGACATTCAGTTCCCGTATACTTGATAAATTCTGGTACCCTAAATTCTTTGGGTATAACATTTGGGACTAAACACATCTCTACAGCATGAACGGGATCATATAAGTCTGCCCCTTTGATTTCCCTCAATCTTTCTTCCAGAGCGGTCAATTTATCATAATCAACATGTTTAGAGAATCCCATCCTATGTGAGTCATTAGTTGTCAAGTTTACAAGCGGCACTTGTGCCGATGGAACATTGGTAGTGAACTGTTGTTCAAATGAAGAGGGATTTGCCCCTAAATTTTGAGAAGTGAATACAAAAGGAGCTACTGGCGTAGATATAAATGGAGTTGCAACTGCTGGCTGAGTAGAGGTATCCTCTCCAGACTTGGATACCAAGGTCTGCTCGAGTAGACTTGTAAGTAGTGCAATATCATTTTTCATGCTCTCCAACTCCCTTTGATAGTGAGCCTCTAGATGTGCTCTTTCTTCGTTCTCCATTATCTTTCTTCATAATCGAGTGTAATGAATTTTATGGTCTTTTGGGGGACCTATATTTCAACCTGAATGAATGTAAGTAAAATGAATAAAATGCATAAATGGATGTAAAATGCCATATGGATGATGCATGCTTGTTATTTGTTTCAGGTTTTCCTTTAACTTATGATGAAGAACAGACCAGATGAGATTTTCTTAAGAAAGTTCTCACTAAGGATTCCAAACCTACAGGAACTTGAATCGATTTAGGGAAGAAATTTGATGCCATAAATCCAGATCAAAATAAACATTTCTTATAATGAAAAGATGATGAAATTGTCTTTTATTGGTTTACAATATTAGAATCACAACAATTCAATCTTTCCAAAGCCTTAGACCGTCATATGCTGCGATCTCATTAATTCCATCTCTGATCAACCCAAAAAACTAATGGAATTCATTTCTAGTCATTGGCTCACCATCTGCTATTTGTTGGGCTATGCTTCTTAATCCTGAAGCATAATTTTTGGCATCATCTGCTTGTACATGATAGCGTATAGCTTTAGAAGCCCAACATTCTGCTTCTTTTTTTGCATTTTCTTTTTCTGATGATAAGGTTTGCTCAATGGAAAGCAAATGGTCCACCTGCTTATCTAAATTGGCAATTACTGTATCTTGATTTTGACACTATTCCTGAAGTGATTTACTTGCCTCTTCCAACTTTAATGCCATTTCCTCAACTTTTGATGCTCTTCTAACCCATCTCTTCATGTTGACATCTTGCTTCCTCTTATGTTCTGATAGAAGTACATATTTTTCTTGTAGCTACTGGAACTCAAGTTGTTGATGTTGTAGCTGAGTTGACAAGTCATCCTTTTCCTGTTTTGTGATAGCCAATGCTTTTTCTCGACTGACTAGATTAGATGCTAACTTTATTTTTTTAGCGCCTAACTCTTCCACTTTAGCATTCAAATTTAGGTTATAAGATTCTTGTTGAGCACGGACTTCTTCATGTATGTCTTCAGTAGACTGAATCAAAGACTTGGATGACCCTTCAAATGGACGAACTTTGTATCCTTTCTCTCTCTTCTTTTGCCATAATGGATATCCTTTAGTTGTTTTTCCTTCTACTCTCTTAGCAGAAGTAACCCTACCAGTATGTTTCCATGCCTTCTTCACTGATTCTAATAATTTCTTCGAGGTCTTGAAATCTTCATAAAATGTTGCCAGTTCAGTAGTCCTTGGAATAAACTGCTCAAATCCAAACTGTTGTAAAACCATGTTGGGACAATAACTGATACAGCAGCGAGCTCCTATCAACGGGACCCATGGGTACTCACCACAGTATGCCAGATAAGATTTGAAGTAAGAATATCGGCTCCTCCAATGAAATTGAGATTTGCTTAGACTTAGAAACATTGATTCCCATATAGTTCTTCCTACTTCATACAAATGTTTTTCAGCAAAATTCTCCAACTTAGAATAAAGATGCCATGGGGTACCAACCAAACCTGAAATCTTCCCCTCAATCATGTGACTTATAGTCCAGATAAACAACAGTTGTAAGCAACATCTTAAACGATCCTTTTCGGCTTTTCTACAATAATTCAAGGATGAGAGAGTTTCTGCCAATATTGCTGTAGCAGGATTAATTTTAAGGGTCACCACATTTTTAAATACATTAACAACCTCAAAATCGATCATTCCCTCGGCAGATGGGAAAAGAACCAAATCATATATGCCCAAGGCCAAAATTCTCAATTGAATTTCATTGCTTTCATCATGTAATCTCCTCTTGAATATGGCTTCTAGTTCATTCCAAAAACAACCCTGGCTATTTCCTCATTTAGTTGCATGTGATTTTGCTAGATGATAGTCTATCTAGGTAATCCAAGCAAAGTTAGAAAATGCATGCTCTATAGGTGTGTAAAAGTACACCTTTTCTGACTTGGGACAATTTAGCAAGGATTCATACTCCTCGATAGTAGAAGTCATATCCACAGTATCAAAAGTGAAGCATCGATATTCTGGATCCCAAAAACCTATCATGGCCTGAAAACAAGCATGTTGGACCCTAATTTTCAGTAAATGTGACAAGTCCCCATATTGTTTCTGAAAATCGATCTGATCATGAACAGATAACATTTCCCAACAGTCTAGCAGTTGTCCTGTACCAAGTGGTCTGTCATCTAATTTAACGTGTGCTGGTAATTGAGGCTCAAATTCTAATGGCAAACAATCCCCTTCATCATGTTGGCTCAATTTTGATCTGGTAAAAAATTCCTCAATAGTATTGGTTTTTTCCATCTCACACTTCCTATAGGATCGATGGAGATATATGAGAATATGGAATGTATATAAAAATATATGTTAATGCATTGACATTTATTTGTGTCTTAAAAGGTATATCCTACTTGATAGGATTTAACTCATAAGGTTTGGCTCAGTTTATTCTATCCTTAAAGAAATTGTTTGGTTCTTAAATTGCCCGAATTACTCGTGAAGTAATCGGCCTCTTAACCTTATGCAACATGAGTATGGGAAACAATTCCACAATACCCGTTGCATAGAGTGAGTTACAATCCAAGCGAAAGTCCAAATGAGCATCAGTGGACATAAGTCACACTTGCCACTTAAATCTTTCTTTTCTAATCTTAAAAAGGACGAGCTCGGGTCCAGAGCTTTTATGGGTTCATCGTGAAGTGTGAGAATACACAAATAAATAATATGCATGCATGTGGCAATATGGAAAATTAAAAAGAATTATAGTAATAAATAATACAAATAAAATAAGTGCCAACAATAAATCGCAATAAGAAAAAGCATATGAAAAGCAAACA